TTTATTCGTGGATATAATTACATTTATTCGGTATTTTAATACTTACTGACGATAGACTAGAAGAAACATCAGTGTTTGGAGTATCGGGCAAATGTATTCCGGGCAATGGCACTTGACCTTAAAAAAACATCAGTGTGGGGTATACCGGGCAATGGCAGTTGACCCTTAAAAAAACATCAGTGTAGGGTATACCGGGCAATGGCAGTTGACCTTAAAGAAACATCAGTGTAGCATATACCGTGTAATGGCACTTAACTAGACCTTTGGTAAATGTCCGAAATATATACTAGGTCTAGTGCCACTGCCCGGTATACATTTGCCCGGTATACCCTACACTGATATTTTTTTAAGGTCAAGAGCCATATTGCCCGGCATATATTTCCAAACATTGATGTTTCCTCTAATCTATTGTCAGTAAGTATTAAAATATCGAAGAAATGTAATCTATCGTCAGTAAGTAATAAAATATCGAATAAATGTAATTAAATCCACGAATAAATTAACATAAAATCGGATGACGTTTTGAATTTGTCATTTTCGAATGACATTTTGACGAATCGGAGATGTATTTTATACTTCGCCGGTTTGTCATTTGGCATTCCATAGAATGCCTAGACACTGTGTGAACACACACACCCCCCCCCCCCACACACACACTATACAGAGACCAATATAATTTTATGATATTACCTTAATATGTTACATTTTAAGATAAACTTTATTAAATCAGACTCTAAATTTATTAATCTTTTTAAAATTATTATTTTTTGGTGCATATTATAATAATGTTATCTTTTGAATTACAATTAAAGAGATTCGTTATACGATTAAGAAATTCGATAGGCTTCCTGCACATGGTGAAGTATGTACAAATTGTGTTTAATATATTTGGTTAACGAAAGCAATAAATGACAGTCTTATCAAATTTGTAATAACAATATGTAATAACAATAATATTTCAAACTAGTGGGCTGCACCCCCTTCTCGCTAACGCTCGCCAACCCCCGAAAATTGCTACGCAATCCTATGTGGTTCACGCCGTGAACCATGGCTCGCTCGCCAATGAACACAATGTTCTAGCACAAAGACATAATATATTATCATCAAAGACATAGTATTTTATCATCAANCATCAATAAGAGGACTTCTCAGTTTACTCTTGATAATGTACATGCTTGAAAAAGATTGTTCGCATATATATGTAGAACCGAAAAGGGAAAGAACAGCAAACACGAGCTTTTTCAGCTGATCGTAAGAGTCAGGAATACTATTCCAAGCGTTGAATATGATCATGTCTTCCTTCTCCAGGTCATTCAAAGCAGACCACTTGTGTTGTGATGCCAATTTGTACCCTCACTCCTTTAGAAAAAGTATGTGCGCATGCTTGTGATACCTTTGCATCACACTGTTGTACACCGAAAACATACGAACAATCTCAGCCTGTAGCTTGTGCATGGTTTGTGTTTACGTTTACGAAAACTAATAAACTTTAACTCGATGTTCGTTACGTATTTTTACTACAATATAAAATTTTAATTACCTATCTATCTTTTAACTTAAACAAAAAATTATACATGTTCTCGATTTATAGAAGAATTTTAAAATGAAAATATTATTGCTCCTTCCGTGGATATTTGTGCCAGAGCCGCACTTAAGGAGCCAAAGAGCCACATGCGGCTCCGGAGCCGCACTTTGCCGACCACTGCTCTAATCTATTGTTCTATTGTAGGTTTTCGTAGGTATTCTAATCTATTGTAGGTTTTCGTGGTTTTCCTCTTCCTGTATCGCAAATACGGGTTAGTTCCATCAAAAAGTCCTCCAGGAAGGCAGATTTCTGCCATCACTTGACTCCATGTCTTCCGGATTGGGTTCAAAAGGACACGGTTGCGGAATTGAACATTAGTAGTTGTAAACTAAAAAAATTGGGTCGGCTGTTCAACGACGGTTATAAAATAAAGTTATTGCGAAGAAATTATCGGGGTTGGTGAGCGGTAGCGAACAGAATGCTTACCTCCCTAGTATTGTATATAGTTGCTGTGACAAGTTGGTTAAAATAGCGTTCGGCTGAGTTGAATAGCAAAATGCTATGATAAGTGCTTGAATGTCCATGATTATTATTTTTAAAAAAAATTGGGGAAAATGTATCTTTGCAAATATGTAATTTATTTTTAATCTATGTGCGTGTCTTATTTGTGGAGAAATAGAGGTTAGTTTCCGGATTGTCCTCCTACATATGTGATATTTTTTAAAATTTTTTATTTTTATTTCCAATGAGCTGCACAATCGGCCTTACCGATGAGCAGACTTAGTGCGTTCTCCAGAGGTGGTATCCACTCTTTCAGGACCACCACAATGGGTGAGATACCGTTGGTCATGTTAATTTGGACGTCTAGTTTCTGCCACACTAGATGACAGCACCGAGACTCTATTTGGATGGATGCTAAAGTGCACTAGGAATTTAATTTTGCCGGAAATGCAAAAGCCATATTTGACAATAAGGCATTCCAGGGATCTTTTACATGCCGCATAATCATACGACATGACCGCTGAGGATTTTCTGCATCCCGAAAATCCGGTGTCTGGGCAGGGGATCGAACCTGCAGACTTGGGCTCAGAAGGCCGACGACAAACCAACTGCACCACCCAGACACTGAAAACAGAACAAAAAAAATAAATAAATAAATAAATAAAAAATGTGATAAATGAACTTTAAAAATTTTGAGTTTTGCAACACTATAATTAGAGAGCTGGTATTTAAAAATAATTTTTCAGAAAATAAGTCGACATTTTTTGGTTTTAGTGAGAATCTTTTAAATACGAACAAAAAATAAAAACCAATTTTTTTCTGTCCACCACTCAAAATGGCCTGGTGTATTTTTGAATGTTGGTTGAACACGTGTCCTTTCGGTCGAATACCGACTGATTCCATAATCATTTTGATGATGTTTAAATATGTTTTGATGATGTTTATAAATGGTGTTTGTTTCTGATTTGATTCAATATAAAAAATACATTTGGAACAATACCTCACTTGTTTAGATGGCAATGTTCCCATTTGTCTAGATTTTGCCCTTTTTGTTCCATTTGCCCTTCCCACCAAAACACGATATGCGAGTTCGAACAGTTCGAGTTCGCGATAAAAAAAAATTTCATGGAAAATTGTGTTTCCCCTCCATTGTCATTTTAAAGTTACAAGGTAATGAAATAAACCTAGATTAAAACATTAAATTTTTTTAAAAATATCAACCAGCAAACAAATTATTACTGGATAACTTCCTCACAGCGGTAACCTACCATCTTTATTTACCACGTTTATATCAACTTGCCTTCGTGTATGTCTGTTCGGGTGGAATTTTGTAATCGATTTTAAACTAACTTCCCGACTAGCTACAGACTTCAAATTTGGCACATAGTTTAGAATTGGATGACAATGCATGAAAATGAAGAGAAAAAAGACATATAAAGTAAAGTAAAATTAAAATTAAAGAAAAATTAATATATTTTCGCTATTGTCTTTTGTTGTCGATTCGATTATTTCAAATTAGTGCCACATGTCAGTTGATAAGCTTTGAGTACAGTGAGTGAAAAAAATTTAGATTTTGGAAGTGAGTACAAGAAAAAAATCAAAATAAAAATAATATTTTTAAAAACCACTTTTTTGTAGTAGAGAATAATAATTAAAAAAAAATTTGAAAAACGAAAAACGTGGGGCGCATGAAATACATAACAGTACATATACATATACACATTTTCTTACTCATGCACATGCACAACCACATACACATCCACATTCAGATACAATTACAGATATACATACACATATTCTCATCAGCACACATACTATTACTATTGTGTATTTCATATGCCCCACGTTTTTCGTTTTTCAAATTTTTGTTTTTTAATTATTATTCTCCACTACAAAAACGTGGTTTTTAAAAATATTATTTTTATTTTTATTTTTTTACCTATAGATGTGTTGAAAGATAACTTTTTAGCATTCCAAACTTCTTGATTTAATCTCGATTAACTTGTCATCATTTTTTCTATACCTTAAATTTCATATAACTTATTCAGCACGTTCACGCCTGGGTGACCCACCGGTGGGTCACGCTAGATTGTCTCATCGGGCGGAGCACCGGAGTTAAAATTGGTAACAAATAAATTTAATTTTTTAGTTTTTTCCAGGGAATAATAAAAATACATAACTACCAATTGTTTTCAACGGATGCAAATTTTATATTGAATTGCTTCTTCGTCGTGATAAATTTCCTTACAGTGAATTGTTATTGTTGAGAATAGATTAACTCCTCCCGAATATTATCTAATATTGAAATAGTTCTTCTACCAGTATTTTCTCTTTTCCGTCCCGCTTTCAGGCGCAACACCCGGCGTGAACGTGTTAATTAAAGAAGAATTTGCCATGAGGGATTTCGCCCGTTGTATAACGTCCTCTTAACACGTTCACGCCGGGGTGACCCACCGGTGGGTCACGCTAGATTGTCTCATCTTGGCAGCGCACCGGAGTAAAAACTGGTAACAATAAATTTCAATTTTTAGTTTTTTTTCCGGGAATAATAAAATTCTATAACTACCAATTGTTTTTAACGGATGCAATTTTTAAATTGAATTGCTTCTTCACCGTGATAAATTTCCTTACAGTGAATTGTTATTGTTGAGAATAGATTAACTCCTCCCGAATATTATCTAATATTGAAATAGTTCTTCTACCAGTATTTTCTCTTTTCCCGGCGTGAACGTGTTAAAGGAGCGAACTTAAAAGTTTCCGCTGAATAGAACTTTATTTTTAGATGACCAAATGATTCCCCTTTTCTACTGTAGTATAATAAAAAAAATTGTCAAATTCTTGCCTCTCCCCCTGAAAAAAATTTTTTTTATGAAAACTTTCCATGCATTTATTTTAGAATTATTCCTAAATAGAGTCTTCCGCATTTGTATACTACATGTGAAGAATTTAGGAGCAAAATGAAAGACAACACTGATTTTTAATTCATGACGAAATTTATGCACAAAAAAATCATTATAATTTATGAGTAGCAATTTACCGCTACCAGGGCAAGTGCACAATTGTACATAGCATAGAGTTTTTTTAATACAAGGAGATTTAGAAACATTTTTTGAAGGAATTATGTCTTCAATATCCCGCTCTCCATCATTCAGAATTTTCAGGTTTTATAGGATCTTTATTGGTTCTCGTCTGAAATATTTCTCATAAATTTGAGTTGATATTTTCTGGTAGTTGTTGTAACGTTAATTCAAAGTGCAGTACATATTCTACTTTATTATTTTTTAATTATAAAATTAAATTATGAATAAATGCACAGAGTGCATTAATTTATCGGTTTCGGGGTATTTTCTTTGATTCTTTGTGATCCTGAAACTGGGCTCATTCAATCATATCTTACAAAGCATTTAAAAACATATCTTACAAAGCATTTTAAAAACACTTTTAAGGTATCTCTTTTTTAATGTCTCGCCATCTCCTTTAAATGTCCTTTCTAAATTTCTCTTTTTTGAGACTTTATTTCTGCTTTCAAAGGTTTGTTGATCGAGATCTCCTTTCAAATATCTGTTTCCCGTGATTACTTTTCAAATGCATCTCCTTTCAAAAATTAATGACTCGTAATTTCTTTCCGAACTTCTTTTCTTCGTGATCTTTCAGAAATGCTTCGTTTTCTTGATCTTCTTTCAAGTGTTTGGTTTTTTTTAAATCCATTCTTTTAAATGTCCTTTCAAACATTAATGGCTCGAAATTTCTTTCCAAACTTCTTTCCTTTGTGATCTTTTAGAAATGCTTCGTTTTCGTGATCTTCTTTCAAGTGTTTTTTTTTTAATCCAGTCTCTTAAATGTCCTTTCAAACTTTAATGGCTCGAAATTTCCTTCCAAACTTCTTTCCTATGTGATCTTTTAGAAATGCTTCGTTTTCGTGATCTTCTTTCAAGTGTTTTTTTTTAATCCATTCTCTTAAATGTCCTTCAAACATTAATGGCTCGAAATTTCTTTCCAAACTTCTTTATGATCTTTTAGAAATGCTTCGTTTTCGTGATCTTCTTTCAAGTGTCTGGTCTTTTTAATTCATTCTCTTAAATGTCCTTTCAAACATTAATGGCTCGAAATTTCTTTCCAAACTTCTTTCCTTTGAGAACTTTTAGAAATGCTTCGTCTTAGTGATCTTCTTCCAAATGTTTTTCTTTTTTTTTATCCATTCTTTTAGAAAAAGTGGATTATTCTATGAAATGGACAATACAGAATAAATATATATTTCATCTTAATTTTGTTTTCAAAGGCTTAAAGGAATATGTGCTGCAAAACGGAATATGAACCAGAAAGATAATGAATAGAAATACTAAATGTTTCATTTTAAACAATATGGATTTCAAAATAAACAATTTTGACTAAAATATTTAAAGTGATATTCTTATTATACATATTTTTATGATACATTTTCTTATTAGAAGTTCAAAATAAACATTCAATTACAAATACATATTTTACATTTCAAGTAATAAGTGCATGAACTTAAATTTCAAACCATGTTTTATAAGAATTATAGAAAAGGAAAAAATTTTGAAGTATTTTAACGTGAGGGCAACTTTGCAATTTTTCAAAACAAATATGATTTGAGTGAAAACTTAAAGAAATGGTAGTCAGTCTAGTCCAAAATATTACTCCTCACAGAGTGGACTCCAAACTTCACTCAAAACAAGATTCCGACTCAAAACTTTCACCGTAATTAATTTTAGTTTATAGATTAATGTTAAAGGTATTCAAGTAAAAATTACATTCTATCATTACAGCTGAAGGAATGAACTCTGTGCTTGAACAAATTATTGTATCAAAACTATTATAAGAAAAATGCTAAATATTCAAAATATGATTTATGAACATTTTATGGTAAAAAAAATTCTTTAAGGTATATTCTGGAAACAAATGATGCATAGAATTCTATTACATATATTTTTTAATTAATTTTCAAATGAACTAAATAAAATCGTTTTGAGTCATTTCCATAAATTCAATCAAGCATGGATTCAAATTGTCTCACTATTCATTTGAGTCATATTTTTATACACATACTAGTTAAAATTATTTATCTCAATAATTTTCTCGTCTCTTCTTTTAAGCTATAACTTTTAACTTACGAAAAAATTTGCCAAAAATTCTCTTCGACTTAACTCCACCAAGCTTCACTAAATCATGTTTGTAGTTATTTTTTTACAAATCTGAGTGAAAATCACTTTTGTATGATTGCAGAAATTATATATTTTACGTGGCCCAAATACAGTGCGTTAATAAAAAATAAAAATTAATATTTTCAAAACATTTAGATCATTTATAGTCGTCTGAAAAGACTTAATAAAATAATTGTGTTTACATGCGTAAGAAACAATTATCAAATAAGATATAATAAAAATCGGAATTTAAATATGAAGATTTAATAAAATAATATCCACCCTTTCTTTAAATGAAATATTTATTTAAATTTCAATATAAAGTAAAAAATTAACATGTGATTACTGTAATTGGATAAAGCCAATTTTTGTGAAGCCAGTTCTTGAAAGATAAGAATAATTATAATTACAGAAATGAGAAAATGTTTTTGGTGCGTTGTATCTTCGAAGAGCAAAAAAAAAAGTTTAAAAATTTTAGTCCACTATTTAACTTCAGCCAAAACGACACCAATTTTGTAGTCAGTCATGTCTTTTTGTACCTATGCAGGGTGTTCCGTTAAGACCGCACTTAATATGTATTTTTAGAATTCTTATCAAAAAAGAAAGCAAAATATGAAATTAATATTTAATGGGAAACAAATCCTCGATTGAAATCTGGCTTGATTGTGTGAATAAACAGAGAAGATTCAAAAAAGAATTATTTGAAACACTTTTAAGTTTCAGCCTCTAATAAAACCTGTTTTGATATTTACTACTTCCTCTACTGTAGTTTGTTAGATTTCGATAGAGTTTTGTTCTTCCCTTATTAAAAATTAATTTACAACCTCCAATGTGGGGGTTGTCAAACTTTACTACTTAAAACTTAAATAAAAAAATTCACATATAACAATTTCGTAAAAAAAAAATTGGTTTAAATGTGTACCATGAAAAAAAGAATAAAACAAAATAAATAGATTTTTAAAAATTGGCCTGGTAAATTGCGAGAAGAAAGAAGATGCAATTATTTATGAAAAGCAATTAAAGTTGCATCAAAATCACTTTTAGTGTCTACATATCAGATTAAGTTATGTAGATCTTAAATGCACTGAGGAAAAAAAAAAAGCATTTATCTTTTCTGTTTTTCAAACAGCAGAATATTTTTTTTTTTTTTACTTTTTGTAAAATATTTAATAATTTGTAGTAATCATTTAATTTTTTCTAGGAAAATACATAAAAAATCTATAAAGAGACTTACACTTTTGCAACAATTTTACATTATATCTTTTATATTAATCGATACAATATAAAATGGACACATTAGAATAATAATTTTTTTTTTTTTTTAAATTTTACAACTTACTAAGAACTAAAAAATAAGTTGTTTTTTAGAATTGAAAAAAGTGATTCATTTTTAGCATCAATTTCGCTATAACCATAATTTGTTACATATAATACAATTTGTTGGTCGTTGAAAGAAAGGGAATCTTTTTCTTCAGTCTATTGTGTTAGAGTGAAGAGAACTCCCTGAAATGCGCTATTCTTGTTTCCATAGCAGCAGACGGCCTCAGACGTTGAAGCTGGGGGAGATCTTACCGTAGATAAACTATATTACTGTTTTCTTCAACCCCTTCAGGACCAGGAGAGAGAGAAAGATCTTTCCCAGCCCCGCAAATTCCTACTTAAAGAGTACGTAAACATACTGATACGAGAGTACCGTATTGAGATCACGTCAATCTGATCTTGGGTCGCTTGAGTCAGAAATCTTGTGGTCCGTGGAATCCGTGGCCATGAAATCTTGGGCCATGAAGATTGAATCGTGTGATCACATTATTTGTTACATGATCACACGTTACATGATCACACGAAGGGGACCGGCCTGTGTAGGGACAGGGAACTGTCCTTGCATCAGAAAGGTCCTGGGTTCGGATCCCGGGCAAGGCACGGATGTCTCTTTCTCTCTCTGTGTTATATGCCCTTTCTCCTTTGTGTGTGAATGTGACCCGCCCTATAGACGGGATGCTGTTGAGTGAATAGCGTGGCAGAAGTCGAATTCCTGGCCATAGATGGCGCCACTGAAAAACAGGAACATTCGCACCCCCACTGCCTAAACAGGAATACGACAAAAAAAGGGGGGAGGGGTTGAAGCTAAAATGACTGTTAATATATTCTTAGTAAATTTACTGTTATTTTTCTTTACGTTAAGGCATTTTTCACGGAAATGTGATCAGAAACAATGAAAAAAAATGAACCTTATAATTTTTGCTGTACTTTGAGGAATGTTTCAAAAGAAATGCTTTATTTTAGCAATGATAGCTTAAAATTTTGAAAAAAGAAATGGCCACAAAGTGACCTCTGTGATAAATGATATAATAGACCATTACAAGATCCACGGGGCAGTAGTTTCTAATTTTTTCCCTATAGTGCATACGAGATTGGATCAAATATAAATGAGATTTTTAATAACTAAATATTAAAATTTTACTTTAAAAAAAATGCAAAAATTTTATTTTTCGTGAACACACTTTTTCCAACGTTTTTTAGTCCCGGTGGCATAGAAAGAACGTGTCGTACACCAATTGCCAGTGTTGTGTTACCGACAAATGCACCCTTTGTTATTTGTTTTATGTATGACGAAAATAGAATTATTTTCTCCTTTTTAGCCTACCTGAAAAACGTACTTCATCTAATTTTATTAAGTGAAAATTAAGATTAATAAAACTAATAGTAGATTGACTCCTTAAAATTTACATAAAAACAACAATTGCCCCGGAAAAATTAGAATAGAAATTAATCAGTAAAAAAAGAAACAAAATATTTTTTTTTGTTTTATCTTTAAATTGCAATTTTCTTATGACCATGCACTCAAATACACAACTGCCGTTTTCAATACTTTTGATTGAGATACTTTGTATTGGTAACGCGATATAGATATTGATTTTATGATTGTAAGCAGGATTTATTTTAACAATTAATAGTTTTAAAGAGTTTTGTTAGAACTCTTACTTAAATTATTTACAAGCAGTGGTTGTCAAAATCACTATAAATTAACGCTGTTAAACAAAGAATGCTAACGCATAGATTTTATTAGCAATTTAAAAATAAAAATGGCCGGGATGCAGAGAGCTGGACTCATGCTTGTGAGAATGAGGGTTCGAATCCAGCCGGCCGAAGACACCCTTTGTAGTAAATGGTGACTGGGGCACGTTGAATCTCTCGAGTCACAAAGTCCTCCGCGTTCCCCTAACAAATCAATATTTCTAGAGGTACTGAGTCTGAGATGGATCGTTCTCTGGTTCAGGTCAAATTTAAAATTTGTGTATGAGGGGGATGTATGAATGGGTCCGTCCTGTAAACGGGTGTGACGTATGGGTGCGGCAGAAGTTGAATACTTGATCATAAATGACGCCACTAGGAATCAAGAAAAATCGCATCCCCTCTGCCTTAATGACCAACAACAACAAAAAATTTTGTTATGACTCTTGCATTTCTATTTAAATTATTTACAAGCAGTGGTTGTTAAAATCATTATAAATTAACGTGGTTAAATAAGGAACGCAAACGTATAGTTTATATTGCCACTTTAAAAATAAAAGTAAAACTTTCCGAAGACCAGGGGATTCAGCAGCTATGCAAACACAAAAATTCACCCTAATAGCAAATGCTAATAATCAAAATTTGAAACTTTCTGGACACTTTTTCTTGAAGAGATTGTATTTAAATAATTCTAAAATAATAATTAAATTATTCCAAACGTGTCTAAATTAAATGAATTGAAGAAAAAATAAATTTAGAAAATTACCAGTTACAAGAACGCTATACCACGGGAAAATTCCTAACATGGCAATTCTTTTTCATCCACAGAAGCAAATTAGAATTTAAAGTATAAAAAAGTGAGTTCGGATAATCCTAGAATAAACCAAGAAGTTTCAAGTGTTGGAAAAAAAAAATTTGAAAATATCAAACTGCAAAAAACTTACGATAGGATTGCGTTATCTTCCGATACGCAGTGGGAAAATTATTGAGCAGTAATTTTATTTTCTATATATAAAATTCTAATGATAGTATCGCTGTTTTCTAT